CCTTCCTTCCTTCCTTCCTTCCTTCCTTCCTTCTTTCCTTCCTTCCTTCCTTCCTTCCTTCTTCCTTTTTCCTTCCAACAACTCTTAGTTTTGCTCTAGCAAAAGTTTGCAACAGGCCCATTAGAAATTTTATTGTCTGGCATGTGTATACTGTTGTCAAATCTATCAGTAAAATGGGCATTTTTCATGAAGATGCTTAAATAAGATAGTTTCTGAATTTGTGCCGGGCTGTGTCAGGCTAAAAATGAAGGATTTTCGTAAACTAGAACCCGACCGCAACATTTTCCCGCAAAAATTTTTTACCCATATTCACCCTCCGAATTTCTGCGAATTTTTGAAAATGAGCTTCGTCTTCAAGCAAAAATCACGTACTTCCGAATTTTGGATCCTATATTTTTTTCAGGTCAATAATGCGAGCCTCAGCATTAAATGGAAGTCTTATTACACTCCTGGAGTTCTTTGTATATGTTTCAAACAGATTTGATATGCGACGTTGCCAAATTCACGTCAATTTTTATAGAGTAAGCCACTATATTACGCTGGAAAATTCCTAAATGAAGTAGTTACTGAATATGTGCCGGGCTGTGTCGGGCTAATACCAAGTGCAATTCTTGACCAACCGCCATCTTCTCCTCAATAACTTGGGTGATGCAAAATAGATGGTCAACGGTTAATCTGCCAGCCGTGAAACCCGCTTGCTCCTCTGCCTCATGATGAATCCATTCTTCTTCTATTTTAAGTTTCAATATCATTACCATAAAGTTTACTGATCGTTCCGGTCACCGACAATCCGCGATTATCGAGATCGTTCTTTTTCCCTTTTTTGTGGGTAGGTAGCTGTAATCCAACATTCTTTCCACTCCTTCGGGACTTCATCGCCCCTCGCACATTTATCCATTAAGTCCCTTAAGCAATGGAACAGTCTGTTGGACCCACATTTAATTAATTCTGGGGGAATATCTCCGGGTCCTTAAGCTTTCACATTCTTCAACTCCCTGACGGCTTTAACCACATCAAAGAGCTGAACTGATACAGTGGATGTCTCATCGACGTTTATCTACGTGCCTCCCTGAAACTCTGGTCGCCTTTCGGTCAATAATTGTTTAAAATGTTCCTCCAACTGGCCAATCTTCCGTACGTACGGGAGATGAAAACGTCCAAACTTTCTATGCCGAGTTCCGATCTTATATCTTCATTCCTCGTATACCATGGTGCGTTTGCAATTTGTCTTAATATTTTGTTTTAGACTGTTTCCATCTTCCGTATGTTGGAATTGGCAGCGCAGGCCCACAGCTGACTGGCGTATGCCCAGATCGGTCTTATCATGGTCTTGTACAATAAGATTTTATTGTGCAGACTAAGTTTAGATTTGTTTGCCAATAAGCCAGTACATTTTTAATGGTTTAAGTTCAATTTGCTTTTTTTCCCTAATAATATGTTCACCATAATTTAATTTTGAGTCCATGATAAGACCGAGATATCTGGCTGTTTTGGAATGTGGTATCCCAATCGGAAATTTGACCGTGGTACAAGCTTGATACGACATTTTTTCACATTTGAATATAGTTGCCAAGCTTATCTTGCTAATGTTCCCACAATGTTAGCAGGACATTGATTTTACCTCTGAGACAAGCTTGAGCCCAAAGATTGTGCCAATGTTAGGTTTGTAAAACTGATCCAAGCCTATCCTTACATTAGTGCCACAATATTGGTGGGACATTATTTTACTTCCGAGACAAACTTGGATATTTAATATTGTGACAACGTTATGTTAATAATATTGATCCAAGCTTGTTCAGCGAATATTGTGATCATGATGTTGCCATAGACTTGTTGTAAAAATAATGCCAAAGTATTGGCAGGACATTTATTTTACCTCTGAGACAAGCTTGGATTTCCAATCTTGCCTCTGAGGTGAGGTAGGCGATAGGACACCGTATTACCTGCCATCCTCGCGGAAGAAGTTTCTTACCGTCGCAATGCCTAAAGTAGGCATACGGAACTGAGGTACCTTCCTTAATCAGCTACTTTCTTGGCTGCTTGCGCTGGCTGAAGTATTCATCTTGGATCCCACTTGTAACAAGCACTGCCCAGGCGAAACGAGAACCAGCCCCATTGACGGGGCGGCCGCGCGCGGACCGTTGCCAAAAAGCTCCATTTGAGCCCTTGGCCTAAGAATATCGGTAAGATGGGTTAGACGCCTATGGATCATGTGTCTATTACGTCAAAAAGCGAAAGGTCGCAGTTTTTGCCCTTTAATTTGCCCTTAAAGGGACCGCAAAGGCAGATCCGCGGCGAGCGCGCCCTGGTGGCGGAAATAGCAAACGCGGTCGAATTGTGCTCGCCGCACACAATATTGTGTTTATCTTATGACAATATTAGAAACAGAAGCCTAAAATGTTTATTTTCTTAATCTTGTGACAATGTTAAAGTGCGAATATTACCACAATGTTGTAAAAATAATGTTAGCATAATATCAATTCAGCAGTTTTAGATATCCAATATTGTGTCAATATTATGACTATATTACGAACAGAGGCCTGTAATGTTTGTTGTTCTAACGTTATTTGAATGTTAACATAATAACATTACCGCAGTATTGCAGAGATAACATCGTCTCGATATTATTTTAGCAATTTTGTTTTCCTAATATTGTGACAATATTATAGGCAAAAGCCCATGGTCAGTATTTTTTTTACTATTCCGGCAATGTTAAAACTACCATCTTACTGCAATATTAAAAAAATAATTTTATAACAGTATTATTTTACCAACATTGTATAACCAATATTGTGTCAACATTGTGACAATCTTATAATCAGCAAGCGATACCTGACGTTGGATTTCTAATGTTGCTAATATTGGTGCAATATTAAAATACTAAGGTTATATATCCAGTATTGATGGTGTATTGTACCAAGATTCTCAGGCCAACCTTACTGTTAAAATCTGCTCACAATATCGCGAAGGTTGCCGCAATATTATTTTAATCTGTCCAAGGTCAAATTTCCGATTGGGATAGCTTGTCCATTCAGTACCAAAGGAATATGGACAAAGTTCCCGACTTGTTTGGATTTAACATGGACCCATTAGCATCCTTCCATTCCTGGATATCATCCAGGCTGACCTGCAGTATGTCCACTGTTTCCTCGTAAGTTGGGGCGCTCGCGAACACCGAAGTATCGTCCGCGAACAGCTCCCAGCTCAGAGTTCCCTCGAGGCTTTGGAATATCTGCTGTGAACAAGCTATACAGTAGGAGCGATAAAACAGACCCTTGAGGGACGCTACCCTTTATCGGTTTAAACTCGGAGTAGGTATGCATCCTCGAAACGCACCTTAAATTGTCTATCAGCTAGATATGATGCTAAAAGCTTGGTGTAGTTTCCAGGAAGCACCTTCGCGAGTTTCTCGACAAAGCGCTGGTGGTTTAGGTACTCTATCAAATGCCTGGGTGAAATCCAGGAACACCCCATTGCAGAAATGTCCCCTCTCCAGTGCCTTCATAACAAAAGAAATTACTCTATGAAGTTGCTCTATTGTGCCATGCTTAGAACAAAAACCTAATTGTTCTCTAATCATTAACTTTTTTTTTATTTACTATTTTTAATAGTGTTTTGATATATAATTTTTCAAAAAAATTTCCTAGAACAGGAAAGTAAAGAAATCGGACGATAGGAGGCTGGATCTGATGCCGGTATGCCACTCTTAAGTATCACGATTATTTCAGCATTTTTCCACTGGAGAGGGATGACGCCATGTGGCGAAAATCATAATTTCTGTGGAATGCATGAAAATCGGATAGCGCGCCGAATAAGTGGGAAAAGGCTGCTGGAAATTCGGATATCCTCCACCCGGTTTTCTACCTGCTCATCGATTCGGGTTACCAGACGATAAACCGAATAGGTAGTGTGAAACCCATGCCAGCTAGCCGGCGCCGCGCCGCGCTGCACTATTTGGTTTGTTTTGCTCGAAGTTGCATGCAGGAAGTTGCAGCTGGAAAATAGCTTGTTGGAAAGCTGAGAATGTGCAGAATAACTTGGTGCAAACAGTTCCTTGGACATTTGCTGACATTTTTTAAAAAGTCTTTGAACATTTTCATTTTACTGCTTTTTATATGCGAATATTAATGTCATTGATTAAAACATAGGTAAAATATTTGAACGCATCTCTAGGGCTACATTTCTGTCCCTCAGCATGTGCCATTTCCGAAATAGAGGTGAAGAAGGAAAATAATCCTTTCTAATGACGTGGGAAAAATATTTAGTGACACACAAATAGAAACCAACATGAATTCCTCGACCCTCGCGTTTGACACATAGGTTATCAATGTAAAAGGCATGAAATTATGAAAAATTGTTTCTTTCGTTTGCGGTAGACCTCAAGGAACCAATTTCAACGAAAAAGTTATGCAATTTCCGGATTCAAATATTTTCACCGCACATTAGTCAAATGTCCCACTTTGTCCGGGATCGTCCCAACGTGCGGCCATGGGAGTTAATTTCACCAATTTCAATACCGTAGCGGTCATTTTGGACGCCATCTTGTTTCGGAAAAAATTCAGCTTGACAACATAAAAATTATTTTAAGTACATCAAAACGAGGAGATCAAGCCACGTCGCCAACTTGTACCACGAACGGGCAACGGGAATACCTACAGTGCTCCCGGAACGCAGGCGAAAGCAAGTAACGATTCTTCAAAGTTGGAATCGGCACGCGTCATGGGCGCGCAGAGCACTTCTTTACCTTCACCTTCATCCGGTCAACCCTTCTCTTTCGGTTTCATTAAAAAAAGAACTCCTTCATTTTCTTTTGCTTTTTTCCAGTACCTAGTGAATAGTTACAACACGGACCCTTACATCAAGTGGCTGCTGGACAACACACGAATCCATATCCTGCCGTCTATGAACCCTGATGGTTTCGAAGTAGCTAGGGAAGGGCAGTGTGATGGAGGCCAGGGCCGCTACAATGCACGAGGATTTGATCTGAATCGCAACTTCCCGGACTATTTCAAGCAGAACAACAAACGTGGACAACCTGAGACAGATGCTGTTAAGGAATGGACCTCCAAGATTCAGTTCGTCCTCTCTGGTGGCCTCCATGGTGGTGCTTTGGTGGCTAGCTATCCTTTTGACAACACGCCTAACTCAAGTAAGATCACACTTGAGTCTTTAGCCATTCCTCAATAGCAGCATATCCTCACTACAGTGCTGAACCGTTGGTCACATATGCATTCAGTGAATCTCATCTGAAGGAAAAAGCGTACTACTTTGCATCAAATTTCAATTTTTACATTAAAACAGTACCTACCTACGCATCATTGTCCCCAAAGTGTCTACACAGAAGTAGACAAAATTCTACTTGTAATCAGAGACGGAAAGTGAAATTTCACGTTTTGAAATTTCATGAAACTTCACAAGGCTCGAATAAATTTCACAAAAATTGAAATTTAATAATTTGTTTCAGAATTATTGATTAAACCTTTGGAGGTCTGAAAGCGTTTCAGATGGTCGTTCTGTTGATGCTGCGGTATTATGCTACTCTACTGAAGGTGCTAGACACAAAGAGGGGGCAAAAAGGGGAGTTTAGAGAGAAAAACTCCAACCTAACCTCTGAACTGAACGAAAACATTTGCAACGCGTGAATGTTTTAAGCTTGGGGTAAAAAATTTCAAAATTTAGAATCACTATTTTTAGGCGTTTCTTAGCCTCCTGAATGTATCCCCAAAAGCTTCAATAAATTTCATGAAATTTCGTGAAATTTCTTTCGAATTTTCATGTTTTCCATGTCTGCTTATAATGAAGTAGAATGCACGGGTTTGCCAGAACCCATGCTGCATTGATCATTGCAGGTTGAGATCATGTATGTAACAAGCTGGTATGCGCGAGACCGGATCATGAGTGGTCCGCCATGCACCACGACCACGACGTTGCCTTCTCGTCCACTAGTATGATGTTGCCATGTCGTGCACAAGTATATCACACCTTCCTCTTTAGGGGGTGTCATAATCTGACAAATATTTTGGGGGCCTTGAGTTTCGTTGAGGGCGTGATCTTTGGGGTTGATTAGAAGCAGCCTCTGCGTCATCCTCCAGAATTGAGATTTGGTCGACACTTTTTCAATCGACACAAATGCACATTGCAACGGCGTTGCCAGTTCATTTTTCAAGCGGGAGCCAACTCGGCACACTGTAAAAATCATGACGGGAGCGAATTCGAAAGTTTGGGAGCCAACTCGGTATTGCCCGTAGGAGAACCCTTTCATTAAGAAATAAAGTAATAAAAACTGCGAATGCACTGTGCCGATCGATTTAACCACGCAAAACTTTTCTTCTTCTTCTTCTGTATTTCTTCATATATTTAGCTATCACGTTGTGGGGTTTATTTATACATTAATTTGCTCGTTGACGTTCAGAAAATGTGTAATTTCTAAAGGAAAAATGATGAGGCACAGTCTGTGCCCCATCAAAAATGCCTCTGAGGACTACAGGACCCTTAAATTCAGATTTATTTGGGCCGATTAAGTACCTGAGTCTACGTCTTTTTTCTCGAGTGTCCGCGTCAATTTAGGAAACTTGCATTTATTTAAAGAGACTCCGTTCCCCACTTTTAAGAGGAAGTATTTTGGATAAGGATGGGTCAATTTTGGATATCTTGGTGACAATTTCAGTTAAAAATCTCCGTGCCTCCTGCTTCGATAAAAAAACTCTATTTTGACAAAAGCCCTAATTTTTGAAGTACGGACCCACCTTTTACTTACTCCCCAAGGGAGACCGAGGGAAATTTGGATTCTTTGGGCTCGATTATCTATCCACCCCTAAGGTCCCCGGCTTCGTCCCACCTAAAAGGCCTCATAGGTAAGTTAGGTCGGAGCCACTCTGTGTGTATATGGCTTGTTGCGTATTTTTTTGTAAAATTTGAATCAAACAAAATAAGTCAAACAAGATGATTGTGGTAGTATTTCAACTAACATACTTGTTCACATCACGAAAGAGATCCTGAACCATCATTCGTAGAGGTGTATGGATACATAACTACAGGTTTTTAATTAATTGCTAATTCAACATCTTCACATAAGTCATTAAATATGAAGAGAATAGTCTTTAATGGTAAGAATTTATTATTGCTCAGTTTATTACAGTAAAGCGTGCAAAGACGCTCTGCTCCATTAATTACCTCAAAAATCACAGATAAAACCCCGCTGAGTTCAACTGCAGAGTCATCGAATAAAGCAGTTCGAATCCTAAGGCGGGAATGCAACCATCATAACGTAGCTGCATTGCGTCTTAGAAGGCGTGGATGAAACGGCGATCGAAACCATGTCGACTGTAACGCTGTCGATCGAAACGGTGTCGACCGAAACGATGCGTGTCGGCCGAATCTATGTCCATTGGAATAATGTCGAACGAATCGCTGTAAAAATACTGACTTCGTCGATCGATCTGTGTCGATCGAATCGATGTCGATTGAATTGAGTTCCTATTTTTCGATTGAACTGTGTCGAGTGAACCGACGTCGATAAAAACGATGCCGACGTAAAAATGATCCTTTCCAAGGATTTTAAATTGTTATTTTCGAGTGAAAATGTGTCGGTGTAAAGATTGTCGATCGAGTAAATGTCGAGCGAAAATACGTCGATAAAATCTATGTCAATGAAAAATGTTTCGACTGAAAGTATGTCGATGAAAAAAATGTCGATCAACTTGTGTCGATCGAAAAAGCGTCGATTGAATCCATATCGATTGAATTGTGTTTTCATTTTTCGATCGAATTGTGTCGATGATTCTTGTACCCACCATCTTTAGTCATCCAAGCCCTAGCGGAGGAGGTGTAATCAGCTAGTAACTTCTTGACTTCTTTTAAACAACGTGGTATTTTGCTTTCAATGCTTACAATTGCTTACAATGCCTCACATATCAATTTTGCTCAAAAACATCAAAAGTAAGAACATAAATAAAATGAGTGTATAACGACGATTCAAGAAACATTTGAAAGTCCCCGAATTCGCCCACACAACGGATTACGGCATTATTTCCATGACACTTTAATGTATAGAGAAGGGAAGAATCATATTAACCGTCCCGCGAACGAAATAAAAACCCAGCCCTTGAAGTTGGAACGCGATTCGGGTCATTATGACGATCTTTAAATCGTAAATCTGGCAACACCGCTATTTAAGAGTTTAAATATACGCTTTTTATAATCGGAAACTCTCAGACTGCACATTTATCGTTTTAGCAGGAGATCCCACCTCAAAACCTTCAGTTTATCATCAAATTCTCAAATTTGGAGTCCACAACTTGGCAACGCTGCTCTGGGGACGGACTAACTTACAAGGGCACGCCATTTTCGGGAAAGTTTGATCTTATACGAGGTATCATAATACTAACAATTCAGATCGATTAAGGCAATGTTAAGGAAGAGAGGGGGGTTTAATTTGTCGCCCCTAAGCCCAGTTTGCTAATTTACCTCTAAAAACCACAAAAATGCGATTATTTTTGCAATAGCTCCGATGACCTACTTAGAAATTCCCCAAAAACCCATCAGGGACTAGGACTACCCCATTACAACCTCCAACTTGAATGTTTGATGTACATTCAATGCCGATTAAAAATGGCTCAAGAACACTGTGCTGGGCAGGTTGAAATATGGTGTATGTAAAAAGAAGAACAATATTATTGAGTAGGCACTAGTTCTATATTGCCGGATTTCCCTTACATTGTCGAACAGTCGAAAAAAGCAGATAAACGAATAGCGATCCAAACCCGATCAAAATAATGACTGTGAAATAGGTAATTTGGTGGTCTCTGTACGGGAGATGCCTAGCCCCTCCAAAAATGGCATTTACACGTTTCCTACGCTAAAAACAGTGTAAATTCCAAGTTAATTAAATTAAAGTGTCCACATTAATTTGCAGAGTAACCATCTTTGAATTTTGATTAATGGCAATTTTTTAAAAGAAAAATTGTTTTTTTTTTATTTTTGTATAAAATAAGTACCACAGTATGCACTCTTTTGAAATGGCGATAGACTGGCAGTTTGCGCCAAAAATTTTCTTTTGTATAGGTAATCTTCTTAGTGAGCTACGAGTTTTACATGATGGGGTTTCCTATTCGAGATTCGTAAGTCGTCCTTTGCCCATTGCTCCCCTCGAAAAAACAATTAGCTCACCTTTTTTTCCAGGAATTTTCGTCAAAACCCCATATCAATACTTGCAAGTGATCTCGAGGTATTATACTTTTCGTCCACAGTAATTTATTGTTATAAAACCTGAATTTTGGTATTTTTTTCCCATGCTGCTTACAAGGAATTTGTAAATCTTCGCCACTGTGTGCAGGTAAATTAATTTTTTTTGCTAACATACATAATGAATTTTATCTCAATTTCCATCCCACTAGAAAGATGTAAGGAAGAATTTCATAGAGGTTTAGTAAAGTTCAAAATAATTTTCTTTCAGAATTAATGTATCAGGGGGTATAGTCTACCCAAAAAATTTCACTTTTTTCCCGTCATTTTTTTGTGCATTTCAGCAGTACTTTGTTTTGAAAACACGGAAACGTAATAGGATTTTATTTCTTTTTTACCTTAAAGAATTTTTCTCAGGCTCTTCAAAGTCTTATATGAAGAGAATCAGTGCAAAATCTGAGGTCCAAATCAGAAAATTTTGAAAGTTACTGCGGATGAGGAATGTAGTCGTCGAGGAGAAAGCGAAGGAGAAAGAAGGTACTACTATGGTGCTGGAGAATTCTAAGGACAACCTCAAAGGAGGAGTATCGTTTTGGGCCTTTTCCGGCCCCACCTGGATTTTGCTGAATGTTTCATATTTTCAAAGTACTAGTTCTAGGTAGACTTTATGCCAAATATTTTACCGAACGGAGCCCATGCAAAGGTGCAACAACGCCTCAAACCCAGAACCTCGGCATCGAAAAATAGTTATTTTCGTCGAATTTTTCGACTGTTATCACTCTTTCAGCAGATGATTCCTATGTATTTTTTGCGTACTTTTCGTTTCTGGCCTTTTCATAGGCCTCCGATAAATTTTAAGGGGCCTTATGGCCCATTGTTGCCATTTTTAGCCCATTTTTAGGTTTTTTTTTCAATTTTACACACGCAGAAATCAATTCAAACTAAGAACCGTTACGTTTTTGAAAAGAACGCAAAAAAATGAATAAAAAATGTGCAGTGAAACTTTATCCTACGTTGCCAAATTTTCGAGAAAAATCGTCCCAAAGATCCAAAAATGGCAAAAATTCGATAAATTGCCACGCTTGAGGTTCAAGAAAGTGGAGTACAACTTTTATATTGACGTACGTAACAGCTCTTACCTATATATACAACATATCAAAAAATTATAGTTGAACCTGGATTCCCACGATGTGAAAATTGACCGGGATGTCGATTTTAGCGGCCTTTCTTTACTTGAAGGTAGCTCTTTTGAATGTTTCTCGACCTTAGTCACCCTCTATGGATGAGTACTATATGTATTTTTCTTCGTACTTTTCATATCTGGCCATAAAAATGGCTTCCTGTGAATTTTAAAAGGCGTAACGGTCCATTGCTGCCAATTTTTACCAGTTTTAGGGGTTTTTTCAAGTTTACATATGTGAAACTTAATTTAATCTAAAAACCGTGTACATTTTCGGAAAGAACGTAAAAAAATACATAAAATGTGATTTGTAACTTTTTCCTACGTTGCCAAGTTTTTGAGAAAAATCGTCCTGAAGCGCCAAAAATGCCAAAAATTGGATTAATCATCACGTCGAAGGTTCTATAAGAAAGTGAATTATGACTTTCATGCGGATCGTGGGACACTTTCCCCACGCAGTTTCTGTTGTTTGGTATATTTGGCCTGTAGCAAGCATCTTGAGAACCAAGGATTATCTCGAGGTTACAGGAATAAAGAGGTGAGCTGGAGTGAAGGATACGGTAAAAGCACCTTGAGGGTCCGTTTTGTCACGTTCATCTGAGCCATTATATGTTCCATGAGACGCACTGCAATCTTCTATTTCCGATACGTTATTTGCAGTGAAATAAAACTAAATATTCACTTCCTGGAATCTTGGACGTGATGATAAATCCAATTTTTGCCATTTTTGGATCTTTGGGACGATTTTTCTCGAAAATTTGGCAACGTAGGATAAAGTTTCACTGAACATTTTTTATTCATTTTTTTGCGTTCTTTTCAAAAACGTACACGGTTCTTAGTTTGAATTGATTTCTGCGTGTGTAAAATTGAAAAAAACCCCTGGAGCTATTTTCAATAGCTAAACTAATCAGTAAATAAACAATCTCAAATACCAGAAGAAACCGAACTGGATCGCAGTAACTTTTTATATATTTAACAGCATATACAGAACAGCAGGGAGAATCACTGGGCAACTAAAAACTATACAGTGTTGTAAAGTTTTTACATTCTCCCCCCTTAAAAAATGTATACAGATTGAATATCATTAAAAAATTGAAAATTTGAAAATTTTGAAATTGAAATTTCATCAGTAAAAACTGTGTATGTGTGTGTTTTTTTTAAGCACATTAAATTTAAGTTAGTCATCACTTAACGGTAATACACAAACTTCAGTGATGGCTCTCACTAGTGTGGATGTTGCTGTTTTCAATGTAACAACTCTTGTGATGCCATCTGATCCTGGGTGAAGTTTTTGTATTCTTGCTAGTTTCCAAAACATCGGGGGACAGTGTCTATCCTTTATTACGACTAACGATCCTATTTTCGGAGATTCGTTTTTTGAGTGCCACTTGGAAAATGTTTGAATGTGTTGAAGATACTCCCTTTGCCATTTCTTCCAAAATATGTTGAATCCTTCCTGTATTGCCTCATACGCCTGTAGAATTTTTGTAGATTGCTTTGTAGGTGTGTTATCAGGATAAGACGTGAGAGGTCTTCCTATTAAAAAATGACCTGGCGTCAATACGTCAAACTCTTCAGGGGCGCTAGACAAGGGTACCAAAGGTCTTGAATTGAGATCGAACAGGTCGAAGGTGATTGCTTGCTCCTAAAAGTGTTCTACAGTTGTCCGAGAAAATTTTTGTAGGGTTTTTTTTTTTTTTTTGACTTTTCTATTTCTACTAAGGACGGTAGTTCTAACTGACTCTTATTCATTTTCTTTTTGATTTTACCTTTTCTTGAGCCTTTGATTGCATTTTTGCAACGGTTAATAAACCTTAATAGATATGCTAGAATTCGTAGTATCCTGTTCAAGGTGGAAAATTTATTTAGAAGATTTGTAACTTCATCAGGCGTTTTTATCAGAGCTGAACAAAGCATGATTTCTTCATTTCCTTCCGAATTTCGATTTTCTGGTCCGTTCCACCAAATTGTTGAAAGTTTCAAGCTTTCAGCATCTGTTCCTCTCGAAATTAGATCTGCGGAAGATCTGGATCTTAGTCCCTCGGAATTGACTGCGACTTTCTGCGCCCTACCGACTCAAGTAAAAATGAACGTTTCTTTAAAAACTCAAGCAGCTCTTGAAGCCTTGGGGGATCTTTTGTAGGCACCACCTTTTCCCATTCCGTCAGTGTGCTTTGATCGAATTTTGCAGTTGCTAAATGAACCACTAGTGGGTCCCAAGAGGTAGTATCCACCTTCAAAGCATTCAGTGATTGTACCGCCTGATTGATTTTGTTGTGTATATTTTCTAAATCTTTTGCTGTTGATGTTTCCTTTTTCTTACAAATACATGTGGGGAAACCAAGATTGACTATCGCTTCGCAATGATTGCGTATTATTATCTTCTTATTTTCGAATTCATCTCTCAAAGTTTGAATCGCAACTAAATAATTTGCTTCCGTGAAGTCGATGCTTCTGATCAAAGAGAGGGCTTTTCCTGATAAAGACGACCGTAAATAATGAAATTTGATGATCTCCGTTAAGTTCATGTTCGAATGAACTAAAGAATTGAACATTTGGAAAAACGAAGGCCATTGCTCATAAGCTCTAAAAAAGGTCGGTAATTTTGGTGGTTTTAATTTAGTTTTCAAAGCCGTTGTAGGTTTGGCTACTGGAAACACACTTGGTTGCGTCTCCAACAATTCTTTAGCTTTTCCAACAGTTTCATAGTAAGTGCTTTCAAACTTATCAAAGTTGTCTTCATCAACATGCCTATTATTTCCATATAGCATATCAATGCTTTTTATTTCACGCAAAATTTTGAAATAATGTGGCAACAATGCCGCGGATTCATCATACCGCGCTTTTATTGCTGAAAGTGAGGAAACATCACCTTCCACAGATTTCTTAAAATTCAACAGCTGACGCTCCAATTGTTCTTTTGAGGTTAATAATCCATTCAACTTTTCATGATGATCAGTATTGGGAAGCGTTGGGCTGATTCGCGAAGCTTTCGATGCCTTGACAGTTCTTGATTTCTTCATTATTATTTTTTAAGAACCGCACTTTACCGCTTTCAACGGCATTACAAATCAATAAATGGATTTACACAATTTTAAATTATCAAACTATGCAGTCTAAATGACATTAATCCATCATCAAGCTTGCCTGGCAACAATGTACCTAGCAATGCGTTTTTTATTTTAGAATTTTCGTTCGTGTCAAGACACCGCCTCTGTCCGATCGAATGAGAAGCCTAGGCCCAGGTCTTACACAAGTATTGCAAGGATAAGAATGGAGGCGAAAATATCGCTCACTGCAATCTTATTTCTATCCAAGTTAAGCTCTCAGTTTGTATGCGACAATATCGCTTACAGCATTTATATTATTATCGAATGGAGGCGAAAACCGCTCACTGCATTCATATTATCATCGAATGGAGGCGAAAACCGCTCACTGCATTCATATTATTATCGAATGGAGGCGAAAACCGCTCACTGCATTCATATTATTATCCGATGGAGGCGAAAACCGCTCACTGCATCCTCAATAATGAATTAGTAAGAAATGCTCTTGTCAAAGTGTTAAACGCAACGTCTACTTTTACTCTCTTTTTTTTTAGGTTATCTCAATCACAAACATTTCATCTTCATTCTAATTCCTTATTATTTTTCACTTTGACTAGAGATTTCGAGTATATAATCACGTCGGGGTCACCAAATGGAGCTATTTTCAGTAGCTAAACTAATCAGTAAATAAACAATCTCAAATACTAGAAGAAACCAAACTGGATCGCAGTAACTTTTTATATATTTAACAGCATATACAGAACAGCAGGGAGAATCACTGGGCAACTAAAAACTATACAGTGTTGTAAAGTTTTTACGACCCCTAAAAATGGGCTAAAAATATGGCAACAATGGGCCATAAGGCCCCTTAAAATTTATCGGAGGCCTATGAAAAGGCCAGAAACGGAAAGTACGCAAAAAAATACATAGGAATCATCTGCTGAAAGAGTGATAACAGTCGAAAAAGTTGACGAAAATAACTATTTTTCGATGCCGAGGTTCTGGGTTTGAGGCATTGTTGCACCTTTGCATGGGCTCCGTTCGGTAAAATATTTGGCATAAAGTCTACCTAGAACTAGTACTTTGAAAATATGAAACATTCAGCAAAATCCAGGAGGGGCCGGAAAAGGCCCAAAACGATACTCCTCCTTTCTCAATTCAAACCCTCAGAATCATCTAAAGTAATTAATGTTTTCAAAAAGATTCATACAAATAAAAAAGTACCTAATGTACATCAAGGTAATCATCAAAGGTAACAAATCAGGGCGTCAGGATTGATGCTCTTAGAGCGAAAGTTCCCGAAAATTACGAGGTCGTACCGTCTGCAATAGATACGTAGATATTTCACTAATATGTTCGTATTCAGCGTTAACGAATATATGTTTGTTCGTACTCACCTGTTTTCTACATGGGTGCGTTTTTTTAATTTCCTGAAGAAGATGAGCACCATTGAGATGAAAGAACCAGCTCACCACTAGTCAACAATCAATTTTAAGAAAACTGCTTTATCGCTTAAAAAAATGAACTATAGAGAAACGATTCTCGCCCACCGTGCTTTGGCAGCAGAAGCATTGTATAAAGGTATCACATTAATCTATTCTAAATATGTTAGGTCCCTCTCCGCCATCTTGTTGTTGAGCTGGTGCGCTATTAGAACGCATCACCACTAGCATACTAGAATTCTAGAGGCAGATTGAAATCAAAAAGCGCTCCCTTTCGGCTGAGTGCTTAAAATGGAGCCCTACACTGTTTTATTCGGGAGGGGGGGGGGAGTGCCTGCATAAAAGTATTCAATTCACAGCTATTTGTTAATAAGTTTGCAATTAGTTCTCTTTTCAGTGTTCCAGAGTTATTCATCTACGCCCTCGTTGACGCCGGATGATGACGTATTCAAACATTTGGCTCTCACCTATTCTCGGAACCATCCAACGATGAACCAGGGGCTCTCATGTAAGCCTGGCACTCCCTCTTTCAACCAGGGTATTACCAATGGTGCTGCCTGGTACCCATTGACCGGTAATTTTAAGACTTTATTTTCAGCTGTATTATTAAGTATCAAGACAGTTTTATTTCTCTCATTTTTACTTGATTGAAATACACAATTGGAAATTTTTGTAACCGTCTAATTGACTAGTTGTCTGCTTATCTCATGAGGATACAGGTTAATACATAAGCACAGGAAATGCACGTGATCGCTTTACGTTCGTAAGCTAAGAGGTAACTGTGCATTAAAGTATGAATTGTATGGAGGATGGGGGGTAAGAGGTGTTGTAAAATTGCGCAGAGAAATTCTGAGTATTCGTTGTTGCCTTTTCGATTTGTGGGTTTTGCTGCAGAGGTGGGTATTTTACCCCTTTAATTTACGGGTCATGCAGCAAGTATGATGAGTAGTCCCTTCAATTTACGGTGATACTTTCCTCTGTTTTAGAATGGCGTTGCTAAATTGTGCATGAACAATTTTGGGTTTTATTTTCACCGCGGGCACGTGTATCAGAGCGACGCACAGTGCGTTGATTACTAGGGAACGAGTGTCAAAAATCGGTATCTCTGTTAAAAATTGTTGAAATTTGATAAGAATTTGGTGAGTTGCTCTTCTTGGTACGGACTATCTTGCGACAAGCAGAAATTTTCGAGGAGAACATTTTGAGAGGGTTTTTTGGCCCCGTTTTGAGGGGAAATCGGATAAAATCCTTTCAGCTTGATATCTCCCAGAAAAAAATAGGATAATAAGCTCAAGTTCGCACCAAAAAAAAATTAACAAGTGCTTATTTTCAAAACACATCAATTTACCGAGAGGGAAACTAGTTCAAAGTTGCTGTGTTGCCATTTTTCGTTATTTTTCATTACGGGTTTTTAAACCTTAAAGAACTTAAAATTATTATTATTATTTTTTTTTTATTGAAATACAAGGTAATTTAATCATTTTAATTTTATTTCACATTACTTCTACGTTTTACTTCCTGGTAGCTTCATTCCTACTGGTAAGCACTATTTATTTTTGATTTTTCCAATTTTTAAATCCTCTTTTTGGTGGCGAATATTGCATTTTGAAATACTGCTAATTGTTTTCCCTTTTTTCCACTTTCATGGAGTGGCAAAAAAAAAGCACCGTCAAACACCGAACTTTTGTGCACGTGGATATATTCAGTAGTATGTGTACTTTCAGAAAATCAACGGTTCATCTGCCCGATGTTGCCCGTTCGAACGGAAATCATGATTTTATACGAAAATTTGGCCATTTTTCAGGTGTTTTTGGGCTTTTATTCGACTTTGATTCAGAGTTCACAAATTAGCCTTCAATTTTCAAGACATTTGGCACTGACACAAATAGATAATACTAATAATGGCGCAAAGAAATGGTAAAATTCATTTTTAAGTATCACATGATGCCAGCTCGCTCTAAAAAATAGCACATTCTGTAATATTTGTATATGTATGCATATGAACTAATTCCGATTACATGAACCTAGTTTCCAAAAAATATTGATGTGAATCTATTAAATCGCATGTAAAATAGGGGAAATTTGAAATTGAAGTAGCTCAGTGTTGCCAAATTTCATGAAAACTTCCATTTTCGCAAGGTTCGTTTTTACGTTGGTACCCGAATAATGGTACAATTCTTACAAATGATCATGATTTCTGTCCAAACGGGGGGCTACAGGCAACTGAACTTTTAATATTTTGAAAGTGCACATACCACTGAATATGTCTACATTGAAATATTTCCAATAGTTGTCAACAGTTTTTTTTTGCCACCTCATGAAACTTCAAAAGAACGTAAAAACGAGCCTTGCGAAAATGGTAGTTTTCATTAAATTTGGCAACACTGAGCTACTTCAATTTCAAATTTCCCCTATTTTACATGCGATTTAATATATTCACATCAATATTTTTTGGAAACTAGGTTCATGTAATCGGAATTAGTTCATATGTATGCATACATATGCATGGATACAAATATTACAGAAATGTGCTATTTCTTAGAGCGAGCTGGCATCATGTGATACTTAAAAATGAATTTTACCATTACTTTTCGCCATTTTTAGTATTATCTATTTGTGTCAGTGCCAAATGTCTTGAAATTTGAAGGTTAATTTGTGAACTCTGAATCAAAGTCGAATAAAAGCCCAAAAACACCTGAAAAATGGCCTTTTCTTATAAAATCATGATTTCCGTTCGAACGGGCAACATCGGGCAGATGAACCGTTGATTTTCTGAAAGTACACATACTACTGAATATATCCACGTGCACAAAAGTTCGGTGTTTGACGGTGCTTTTTTTTGCCACTCCATGAAAGTGGAAAAAAGGGAAAAAAATGAGCAGTATTTCAAAATGCAATATTCGCCACCAAAAAGAGGATTTAAAAATTGGAAAAATCAAAAATAAATAGTGCTTACCAGTAGGAGTGAAGCTGCCGGGAAGGATAAAATGGCATTGAGGTCTGTTGATCAGAATGCTCCTCTTTGTTGTCATCTGCAATCGGCTTCTAATCAGGAGCTCTGAACTGGCTGAAAACGACCACCTGTGCGGGCACTACGTATCGATAAAAATCGATACTTTCGCTGACAATAATGTTGCCAGATATACCACTTATCGTTCACCACATAATGTTTGGAAAATTTCGACTTTTATTTTTAGGGGGATTTTTGTCACTTTTTTGGAGTTTTTTTAACTTTTCTCGAAATTTGGGGACTTGCCAACGTAATGTTGAACTGATTTTGACCTTACTGAGATGATGTGGAGGCAAATCCAGAGGAAATTGGCTTATTTCGCAGGAAAATTGAATGACCTTTGAATTGACGTATTTGGGGGTCCGAGCCCCCCCTTAAAATTAAATCGAAGTGATTTCTGCAATTTTCACGTAAAAGCGAACACAATTTGGTAAATTTTCCCGTTTTATTTTTTTCTTTACGATAATTTGAACCGGAGTTATGATTTTTTGAAAATAGGTCAAATTTTACCTTTGACCTACCATAACTCGGTCAAAAATTGAGATATTGATCTGCGGTTCGCGCCAAAATTCTTAGTTTTTTATGCTCTTTCGAATGAGGTATCACAAGATACGGGTTGCTATTTTGAAAAAAAAAGTTGGGGGGCCCCTGTCCCCCCTGAGGGGGGAACCAAAATTTTGACCCCCTCAAAAGATGGTCCCCTTTGAGATAGGAACATTCTCAAAGTTTCATTTCCTTAGTTCAATTCGTTCAAAAGTTAGAGGGGGGGGGGGTCGGGGACTTTTCGCTCACCCTGTATGTGTTGGTGAGAATGAGTGTGTGTGTATCAGAGGCTGTATAACAAGGAACGGGTGGTGTGAACTGTGGTTTTTGGGTTTGATACTTCAATATTGGGTTTACGTTACCGTGATTGTAATCGTTATCGTTATCTTCATCTTCATCGGTACCGTTATCGTACCTAACTCGAGGTCAAATAGCAAGCTGGGCATGGGACGACAAAAGAAACCGCTCCTCCCGCATCCTTGCCGTGACCGATCTGAATTTTTAGTATGTTTTTACCTGGTATATGATGTAACGTTCCTAAGATTTTCATGCCCGTAAAAAATTGTTTGCCCCCTGTGGAAGCGTTGCCAAGTTGCAGACTCTATATTATCGAATTTGATGAAAAATGAAGGTTTCGAGGTGTGATTTCTTCCAAATTATTACGAAAAATGTACAGTTTGAGAGTTTTCGATTAGAAAATGCATATTTGAACAATTTAAAATTGCGGTGTTGCCAGCTTGACGATTTAAAATTTGTCAAAATGACCCGAATCGCGTTGCAACCTCAAGCGCTGGATTTTTATTTCGTTCAGAATCGGTCATTATGATTATTAAAATTATGTCATTACGGAACTGATGGAAGCAGTTAACTCAACAAGAGAGGCCGGATGAAGCGATGAGTCAGGGAAAAACGAGCGGTTCAGGTCGATAGAAAGTTCTTGTTCAAAATTGTTGTGATCTTTTGCAAGTGTTTTGTTCTTTCAACTGTCGAAGGTAATTTTTTTTTTACAGCAAGAAGTCCTCAAGATTCGAATTATTCAATCCGCTGTGAGAGAAGGTCAAATTCGGGGACTTTCAAACGTTTTTTGAATCGTCGTAATCCACTCATTTTGTTTGTGTTTTTATATTTCATGTTTTTGGGAAAAATGTGGGGGCAAAATTGTACGTAGGAGGTTCAAAGTATTGATTGCAACACGTTTAAGGATAAGGGGGTGGGAGGACGTTCTCAAATCCTACTCTCTGTTGATGGAGAGGATTTAAGATATGAAATTTAAAACCACAAACAAAATGAGTGGATTACGACGATTCAAAAAACGTTTGAAAGTCCCCGAATTCGACCTTCTCTCACAGCGGATTGAATAATTCGAATCTTGAGGACTTCTTGCTGTAAAAAAAAAATTACCTTCGACAGTTGAAAGAACAAAACATTTGCAAAAGATCACAACAATTTTGAACAAGAACTTTCTATCGACCTGAACTGCTCGCTTTTCCCCGACTCATCGCTTCATCCGGCCTCTCTCGTTGAGTTAACTGCTTCCATCAATTCCGTAATGACATTATTTTCATGGTACGTAAATGTATAAAGTACAGAGGAATCATATTGGCCGATTCTGAACGAAATAAAAATCCAGTGCTTGAGGTTGCAACGCGATTCGGGTAAGTTTGACAAATTTTAAATCGTCAAGCTGGCAACACCGCAATTTTAAATTATTCAAATATGCATTTTCTAATCGAAAACTCTCAAACTGTACATTGTTCGTAATACTGTGGAGGAAAACACACTTCGAAACCTTCATTTTATCATCAAATTCGATATTATGGAGTCTGCAACTTGGCAACGCTTCCACGGGGGGCAAAAAATTTTGTACGGGCATGAAAATGTTAGGAACGTTACATCTTATACCAGGTAAAAACATACTAAAAATTCAGATCGGTCACGGCAAGGATGCAGGAGGAGAGGTTTCTTTTGTCGTTCCATGCTCAGCTTGCTATTTGACCCCTAAAAAACCATTAAAATGCAAT